GCTAGCCGTAGTTAAACCACGACACACAACTTATAAAGCCTCCTGTTCAATGAAAAAAAAGTTTTATTTCAGTATTATGATATTATTAAAGCAGTTGGACTTTAGTTAGATCCTTACCTTCACTGATATCTTTTGGCTCAGATGGTGCAGTAGAAGGGCCGGTGAAATTATGATTCAGCTCCGTTGTCTGTTGGGTGGAGTTGAAGTTTGGTGTAGGACTTTGTTTTGTGTGCTTTGCCGTGGGTGATGTTGGAGTGATACCAGTGGGGAACAACACGCTGGGGTTGCTTGAAGAGGTATCACTTGGGTGTGACACAGCCACAACGGTACTGTAGGTGACTGTGGAGTTACTCGGTCTCGCTGTGGAAGTAGAAATAGCTGCGGCACTTTTGGTCACTCCAGAAAAGTCACTCCATGTTGTCAGTGTCACTACAGACACTGGGATTCGGTTGAAGTTTGTGGCAGAGTTAGTTATTCCATCTTTTGACACCATAGTGACATGTGAAGATAAAGCGATGCCATCAGTGGACCTCGGGCGCGTGCTGTTTGGCCAAGCATTCGTCTCTGTTCTTCTCGTTACACTTTCTTGGGCACTGGCAGGTGTTGGTGCAGCATGGCTGACAGGATTCGTGGCGGTAGTCGGCAGCAGAACAGCTCTCGGTGAAGTTGGTTGCACCACAGACTGATCGTTATCTGTAATCGAGCCATTTCCAGTATTGGTTTCATTTACTTTTCTGCCCACAGTATGGCTTTTGTTCCATGGCAGCCTTACAAGGAGAAAAATGAAAATCATTCCACAGGAGGGTTTCATGGTGTTGATCTCAAGGTTTGTCTTGTTATATACGGAACCTGAAAGAAATTCACTCTTGTCTATTATTTCATTTTGCAAAGTCTCTCAGTGAAAACCCAAATAAGCTGGTAAAACAAAGCTAGTGTTATCCTATAGAAATATCACTAGTTTACCAGGTGTTGATGCCGAAAACTTTACGTCCTTCAGTCCTAATGACCTAAGCAGTGACCTAAAACAATAATGATGACCAACAAAAGTTTTTGCACAAGTAAATTGCATGGTGCTGTAAACAGGCCTCATACTCAGAGGGGAATAATTCAAAACCAGTTTGGTAGAGAATGATGGAATGATACATATTAGGATGGCATGCTCGAGGCAGTGTTTTCTGGGAAGGCAACAACTCTGTTGCAAAGACGTATAATTGTTACAATTAGCCTTGAAAGTTGATGGAAAATGTTCTGTGAACCTGAGCAGCGAGTGTCTCATGAATGCTGCCAAACTCAATCGAGTGGTTATGGATGATGCTGAATTTGTGTGAAAACTAATTCCCCTATAGGAAATTGGAAGCTATATATTACACATTAATTTTTCAGATGTTAGATTGAGAAGGATGACAGAAACTCGTGAAGTCACATGACTGTAGCAGGTATGCTGTGCAGTATATCTGGGGGGTTTTGGTGGGAGGTGTGTGTTTTTAATATGTATAAGACAGGTTGTGATCATGCACTTTCACCTCCCACACATAACCTCTTACGTGACAGCTCAGTAAAAAGTGTACTAAGTTATGTTTTCAGCATCATTAATTGATTAGGTGTCCGTGTATGTGGGTACTTTACCATCTGAAGAAAAGAGATGCACACCTGCAAAAGTAACTATTTCATATTCATCCTCCCCTCCTACTGTCTTACGCTTTTTCCTGTGGGTGATTTGTTTGGGTTTTTGTGGGCTAAGGGCATGAGGGCTGATGTTGTTCGCTTGCTTGCTTGTTTGTTTTGTTTGTTCTTATTTCTTTTGTGGTTTGAAGATGGTGCCATTACTTGAAATGCATGTGTATTTATAAAATGCCATTTAATCACCTTTTTAATATATGTTCCATTTCTCCACGTTGCTTATTTCCCAAGTTAAGGTTAGTTATATGGTGGGAATGACCTGTGTGTGGAAAAGATTTGTAACTTACTCAGCAAAAATAAAAGAGAGAATGCCTGCTTGGGTATCAGTCAAACTCACTATGACACTTTGACCCCAAACAAGCAAGCCAAAGAAAACCCCTTTGGAGTTCAATTATCAGCTCCGATTGTGTTTACATTTTGAATGATAGGCCTTCAGATGACTATGAAATGCTGTGCAATCTGAATATTAGATTTTGATTTGTTAGCACTAATAACTGCAAAGGAGTGAGGAGGAGAAAAAAAACTGTTGAATTTTACAGTTTTCAAACACATGCTTTCATTTTAATAATATTGTTTTAATTCAGTAGCAGGATCTTTCCTTCCTTGTATTAATAGTCATATTAGTGAACAAAGTGGGTTTGGTCACTCATTGTCCCTTCACTGTAACTAAACTACATGGAGAAATTACGCTCAATTCATTTAAGTGTAATTTTAATTCAGAGCAGCATACAACAGAGTCAATATCCTTGCTGAACAAGTTCTTTGTTGTTCGGTCTGATTGGCTTACTTGTGCAACCTTCTTCACGGGGAACCATGGAGAAGAAACCTTCTTGCTTTGGAGTTGTGTACTGCAGTTCTTGGCTGGGATGAACTGCTTCCTGGAAATCCTTGTGCGTGTGATAGTTAACTCTACATATTCTAGTGCAACATTACTGTGCATACAGTTTAGGAAAAAAGTGGAGGTCTTCAAAGATACTTGTTGCCTTTAGAGCTTAATATGCAAATAGTGCTATTGCACTAAACCAAATATATGCATAATAAAATATATAGCAGTGCTATAGATTAGCCAAACTTGCAGAAGAGCCCTTAAACTAGTTGATTAAGGAAGCTACAGACAGATTATTAAGGAGAAAAACAAAAAAAGGTCTCGCATTTGGTTCACTGGAATTTGTGTTACTCAGTACCAGCCCAGTGGAAATCAGTGCAGTAGGCAGAGCCTGAAGTGATTAGAAATGACACCGGTATGAGATTAGGCTGCAGTTTAGTTACCTAGATTAGCTCTACCTTTTTTAAGCAAGAAAATTGAGGCTTTTCCATAGGATGGTCACCACTGTGTTTCTTCAGTGATTTTGCACTCTGCCCTTGCTTCTGTGCTCAAGAGTCAAATTGCATCTGGGCCCTGTGCAGCTGGCCAGGGGAAAAAAAGCCAACTCCAGAATGGGGAAGGCTAAAATTTCTCTTTCAGCATATGGCTTTCTGAAGAGATGTATTGGCCCTTATTGGAGAAATTCACCAAGATGTGAATGCAATTTCCCATAAGAATGGCCCTCCAGCGTGAACCTGAGGATGCACTGATTGTGTCTATACCGGAAAATATGCAGCCCAGTTGCAAGAGATGTGTAGAGGTGCTGGGGACTCGATACCCACTCTTCACGCATTTCTGGAGGGCTTTACTCCGAGCTTGCTGCAATATCTTCCCTTTGTCTGAGCACCCTTTGAGAGCTGGCCTGTGTTGGCCCACTCCCGGAGCACATCGCTTAGCTCACTGACAGGAGTGGACAGTGGTCTAAGCCAAAGGGCAACCAGTGGAGATGATCAGGAGACTTTAATTAAAGTGGATTAAAATGCTAATGTAGGTTCAGCCATGCTGAGGAGGCTGTGGTTCTGTGTCATACGTATTTATTTTAGTTGAAGTAAATGGAAAAAAGGCTACAAAAATCCTTGTCATTCTGTTATTAATAAAGCATAAAGTTGCTTTACAGCAGAAGGCATTCCATATGAAACTACGCATGTAGATACGTGCACATTTGCACACCTACAGCCTGCATGTCAGATCAGCCTCCTCAGGTCTCTGGACTTCAGCGTGAAGCCTGCGTTGATGTGGCATCTGTCCTTCTGTTTCCCTTAAACTGCTCAGGTTTGCCTTGAATATTTCTCCAACACATTAAAAAAAAATGTCCTCATAAATTCTTTTATGGGGATTTTCATATAAATGTCTATCCAATGGTATATTAAGTATTTAAAAATAGATTTGTGGCATGGTAAAGTCATTGCAACATGCATTTCCTGAACGCAACGCAGCACCTGCCAGTGATAAGTCTAATGTCTGCAAAACCTCTGCAACTGCCAAGAAAATAATTGTTTCAACTTCTCCTTATGGGTAGACTATACAATCTTTTGCATGTCAATAAATTCAACCTGGCACCATTTCCCTCCCTTATAGTAGTGATTAGAAAGTAATTTGTGTAGTAGATGGTGGCATGATGATCAAATTATTAATGGCATTTGAGGTCTGGAGTAATGTTCATGTTTGCAGAACTTTCACACAATGCTTTTTAAGCTTCATAAAGCAGTTTATTTTTACCTTTACATTGATGATCCGAAAGCAGATGGAAGAAATATAGAGCAAGTTATAGAGAATGTATCTTCTGGAATTCAGAAAGAAATAATAGCAAATGGTGGTCCCAGAAACATATTGGGGTTTTGCTCCCGTGGCTCTTTGCTCTAAAATTCAGATTGCTCTCCAAGGATGGGATATTTCTAAATTTAATGAGCAATGAATATTAAATTTTCAAGCTGTATTTTAATTTTTGTGGTGAGAAAATAAGTTTTTAGTGAATTATGAAGAAGAATATAAATACAAATTCTATAATTAATTTAATTTATCCCCTCTGTTACTAGCTAGCAACCTGACAAGTGTAAGTGCACTGGCTGAGCTTTCTAAGTGTGTATTTCCTGTTCATTTTTGGTGTAAGTGAACTCAGCAAAAGCACTAACAGTGTAGCAATACCTTCAGAAATTGGTATAAAGTAACATACACAAGAGTAATTCCCTTCACCACCACCACCCCCCACCCTTTACTACGAGCTCTGAACTGACTGGGAGAAATTCTATACTTGCTTGATAAGGAGCATAAATACTAAAGAAAAGTATGAATTTAAATGAAAATACTCTGTTTGTGGTCACTACTTCTCTGGTTTAATGTCTGAATCACAAAACGGGGGTGGGGGTGGGGGGTGGTGTTGGGTGTTGTCAGTTATTTTCTCAGAACTACACTCTGAGTAGCGTGTGGTTACAGCAGCACTGATTGCCGTCCTGAACACTATATAAAAGAACACTGTGAGTATTAAGCAGATCCAGTAGTAAGCATTAAAAAAAGAAGCCTCAGACTTACCTTTGAGCTGTACAAAACAGGCAAGAACCTGTTGAAAGAAAGATGTCCCAGAAGGCAATGAGGCTGGTGGGAAGCGGGGAGCGCAGGTACAGCCACGGTGGCAGTGTGACACCGGGCAGGAACGCGCCGTACAGGCGAGGCGAGGTGGGGCAGCCCTTCACTGGGCGCAGCAGCAGCACACGACCCACTTCGCTGCTGTCATGACCGAGCTCTGTCATTACAGAGTCCACAGAAATTGCAGTATTTATCGTAAAGTGGGGAGGCAGTGCTTGTTGCTTAATCTCTTGGAAGTCTTTGAACTGGTATTTCAGAAGGGTGGCTGTTTTCTGTAAACTATAGAAACTATTGTTCCGTGTACTGTGCAACTATTAATTTAAGAAAAGATAGCTTCTCATTATCACAGAGTTTCCTACGGTACACTTGTGAGATGAGAACTGGAAAAGGCGTGTCTTCTACAAAATAAAGCAGCAAAATGAGTTCTATTAAGACAGACGTGCTCCTAGAAATGAGTCTGGTCCTGTCTGCAAATACGTTCCCAGGTGCAATAATTTAAGATAATAATCTAAAGCCAAATTTTCATAATTTACCATATGTCATTAATTCTGACTTTGGAATACATAGCCAGCAAGGGAACTGAATGTTACAACTCTTACCCCTCACTTCAGGTTTTATATAAACAATACCAGACTAAAGCAAGAATGAGGAAGTCAGGCATATCATATATAACTCAATACGCTCATCTAGTCAACCCATAATGTTTTTTTTTTTAATTCTTTATGTATATTTATTCTCGTCTGGTATGTGGTGAAGAGCAACTCAGAAATGTTTCAGTATTGTGTGACTGTTTGAGTGGAATGCCATGATGTAGTTATCTGTTTCCACTTTAAATTTTTTAAGGAATCAAGTGCAAATACTGTTTCATAACTTATCCTCGAGATAAGTGTTGAGGATATGGCATATACAGGAGATGTTTACATGGGAACAACTAGTGGTGTTTTCTTGAAAATAGAGCAGTGGGCAAGTGCAAGGTTTTCTATGAAATGGATCAAGTTCTACCTTTTCTAATATCCCTTTTGGGGAAGTAAATTGTGTGGCATGAGGTGGGGTGAGAGGAGGCAGGACAGAGTCTGATACTGTGGATTTGGTTTTCTTTGGAGTCTAGCATTCTCTGCCGTGCATATCAGCAAGCCTCCGACTTTAATTTATTGCTGTGTCTGGGTGGACATGCATCTTAACAGATTGACCTTGAGATCTGAAAACAAGCACCACAAATTTGTGTCCAAATTTGGTTTCTTCTGCAGCAGATCACAGGTGATACGCTTGGGTCAACAGTAGACTCCACAATAGCATGCACGCATTAGGGTGCTGAGAAGCCTTTTTGATGGTGTTTTGGGTTTTTTTTTAAGAAAGTTTATTTGAATAGATACATAATATTTGAAGATAGCAGGACCTTAAATATGTAGGCTGAAATTCTCTTAAAGTACATCTATTACAGTGGCATGACAGTCGTAGCCCTTTAGTACTGCCCTGAGCCTCCGCACTGGGCTTGGGAAGGTGCACACGCTCGCTCTCTCCTATTTGTTACAGCTTAATTCATCTGTTAGGAAAAGTAAAAACTGTTTACCTGAGTGACTTAAAATGGAAGGTGCTCAGTTTGTGACTCAGTTCTTGGCTAAGCGTCATACACCTGCGGTGTGCTGCCAGAATGCTGGCGCTGTGCGCTGGCCCACTGCTCCTGGAAGGCAAAACCTCCATCAGTGAGCCTGAGAGTGAGCAGGGTCGGAGCTGTGGCCATATGGAGGGAAGGTGGTTCAGAGTGCTCCAGGAGTGGGAGATAAGGCTAAGCGGTCGTTCAGCTGTAGCCTGGATTTATTAAGTGGCAGTTTCAGGTCTGAGGAGTGTGTGTCAGTGGTATGTGCGGTAACAAGTCCATAGGGCGGTTTTTACTGCACAGCTTACTGTAAAGGAGTCTGACTGAATAAAACTGGAGAGGTAATTGAGCAGCATATTCAGAAGGGGCCTGCCTGGCCAGGGCCAAACTCTGTGGAGAGGCAATAGGCAGCTCCCTGTCTCCTTACAGAAATTCCTCTTGGCAGTAATCTTTTAGGGAATAAACACACCATTCATTCTGACACAGTGACTCTTATAAAACATTTGGAAGAGGTGTGCTCACGTCTTGGGTTCTCTGTCCTGACTAAAACCAGGACATGGGTTCTTGGTTTTCTTTTGGTTTCATTCTTTCTCTGCTCTGTTTCTTCCTTGTATAGCATTTAACAGCAGCCAATCACTTCTTGGCAATGTCAAAATTTTGTTTCAGTTAAGATTGCATTAACACACAACCAAACTTTCCTGCCTGTCTTAACCATCAAACAGAACCCTGCTTGTCTTCTGAAAGATTAAGAACTGTGTGAAGCACATGCCTAGAGATTTTAGTTCTTCCTCAGCGCGAGTAGTGGCGGTGTAAGGGCAGTAAACGTAAGGTAACTTAAATAAGAATTGAAGGAAACTTTTGGAAGCGTATAGTGCAGAACTGCAGACTGTATTGCAGAGGACTAAATAACAAATCCCTAAATGAGTGGGTCTGTACCAAAATGCTGGACAAAAAAAGGAAGTACACCATATATTATGAGATTTAAAATTCAGAACGGCAACTGGAGCTGTTAAATGGGAAGCAGTGTGCCCAGGGAAAAGCAGGGGAGGCACCCGACAATGTTTTCTGTAGGAAGCCATAGGCTTGTGTGTGACCCTCTAAACTATAAACGATCCAGAACTCTTGAGCAGCAGGATTAGGCAGGGAGAACTCTGCCAGGTCAAAGCAATGTTAGAAAATGGGTGTTCTCATCTTGATGTTCAAATTAGTCACCTATTGTATGTCTTGTTTTTCTACAGAAGTAGTAGATAAAAGTCAAGGCTTAGCGTGTTCAGAGCCGGGTGATCAGTGTAAGAGATGAGTCTGTAAGTGCCTAGCAACCAGGTCTGGATTGCATGGAGAGCAGAGACGGGGGGCGTTAGCCATGTGATGGAGTGAAATAAAGGCAAGCCAGGAAGGATCCAGGCTTTCTGTGGAACTGGACAATGAATTTCAAACTTCTGATGTTTTTTCACTGTCATTTAGGCTAGAAGATTATGCCAAGTTTTGTGAATTACTTTTTTTTCCAACATGCTTTTCTTTGATACACTTCTAGCTTTTGACACTATTTTCTCAGTAGCCATATAGCACAGCAAAATATCTATGAAATCTGTTGTACTGTTTGAAAGAGAGGATTGCAGCATTTTTTAAGAGCTCAGGTGAGTCTGGAAAAGGTGCTTTAGCTGGCAGGTATGGTCAGCAATTGGGCCTCACCTGCTTCATCTGGATGGATGATTTTCTTGATCGATGCATTATCAAATGCCTTGAGTACATAAGTAACACAAAAGACATATTTTGATGATGATGAAGCCTATTATTCATGCTATACCAGAGCCTGAAAACTCTAACTTAGAGACAGATCTTGATTTAAAGAATAAGCAAGTTATCCCAAATCTATGGGGACAGACAGAATGAAATAAATAGCATTGCACAATTAGTGTCTATTCAACTGAGGACTCCATTTGTCCACAGCCTGGTAGTACTTCTAGACCACAACTGCCTCATTTATTTCCAAAGCTTCAGTGGCTATTTACACAAGCTAAAATACCTCCTATTCCAAAAAAGTTGCATGTACTTTCTCGTTCTTTTCTTCAGTAATGGCACTGGGGAAGAAAATAAGCCACTAATTCAATTGCTTGGTTTCAGTTTCTCTGACTCAGGTACTTTAAGTCAGTGGGATTTAAAATTCATTATTTTGTTTCTGACAAATGAGCCACTTCCTTACTTGCTATTACTGTTGAGTGTAACTGAGTTATTTCATTTGTTCAGTTACAGACTTACCACTTTTCGCACAGGATAGTGTGATAGCTGGGGTCTGCTGCCTACCACACAGAGAAACACACAGCACCATGTTTTGCAGAATGTGTTGTATTTCTTCTACCTGTTTAATCACATAAGTGTTGTTTTCTGTATAGCACAGGCTTACGTTGCTCCTTATGGGGAAGGAAGGGATTTCTATTGCAAGGCGATATCTTCTGTAACCTTTCGGAGTCTCAGGCTGCACTGGTTGCAATAGCAATTCCAGTGACAGTGAGGAAAGGTTGTTTCCCCCTCAGATTACTCAAGTGCCCACCCCACTGCTGCTTAAATAGGGCAGCTGTGTGCCATCCTTGTTAGGAGCATCTGAAACGGAAATGAAATCTGTGGTGAAGACGAGATCCGTTCTTGGAAGAGTATAAGAACGTACTACTTAGAACTAATACTCAGGGACAAGTTCCTTTCATTCACCCATCCGTTGTTTATGGGTACATTTATGTTCTGGTACCTTCTAGTCATTGTGCTTTAATATAGTATATGGATGAATTATATACATATATATGTATATAAAATTATGGTGGCTATTTATATAAAGTGATTAAGATGTTAAACATAATACAGAAACATAGAACAAGGTAGGAATGTGAGACCATGCTATTCAGTTTGAGTTAGAAATCCTCCTTCTGAGCAGTTGCCTTGCCAGAAGGAAGCAAATTTTTTCACTCCCTATTTGAAACCGCTGTTTTCTAAGGAACAAATGGACATTCCCACATTTTGTGAGGAATCTCACACCAAAATAAGGTGTCTTACCCTCAGTGGCAAACTACAGTGTTTGGGGAGACTTGGTGTTATTTATTGGTTGTAATTATTTTTATAGGAACTACCAAAATCTGTAAGTACATGGAGAACCTGATGATGATCTCACACATAGATTAGAAGTGATTGTTTACAGAAGTAATTTAGTATTGAAAATACTTCATTATAAAGCTGGGAAAGAACTCAGGTTGTCTTGATTCAAACAGAATAAAATGAGCTCATAATTTAGCTCTTTATTAATAGATACCATTGTGTATGCACATTTTTGTTCCTTTAAGGAAAGATTTCAAACCATATATGTTTTGGATAAAATTAAAAGCAAAAGGGTGCTCTAAAAAGGATGGTAATGTCTCATACTGACAGGTACCTATCTCTCTACTGATATAGCAGACAGCAAATAAAAAGATTCTTAGATAAACATTGTAAAATAGTGCTCCAGTTTTAAACAGGGATTATCCTGAAGTTACTTACTGTTTTCAGGTTCTATGGGGAAAACAGTCAGAAAGTGGCTAATGACAGTTATCATGTTACATATTGCTGATTTTCTTGAGATCTGCATGGCTTTTTTTTTTTCTTTTCCATAATTAAAATGCAGTTGATGATTTCCACAGCTACAGTCTTTCTAGAGTTTTGGAAAAGACGGAGAGCTGTATTAACGTATGACTGGGACCTCATAGACTGGGAAGATGAAGAGGTAAGACTGAAGAGAAGTAAACCTGGAAATCTTGCTATCAGCATGATTTAAGTGTAATTATCAATATATATTTTATGTCAGTAATCTGAATTTGTCATTCAGATTATATTTGTATTTATAATACTCTTAGAATGAACAAGTATACTTGAGGCCATACAAGTTGCCTTCTGCAACTAGCATTATAATTCCACATTTATTGAAAGTATCCTTTGAAAAGTTGAGTAGAAGTAGTGCCTGTACGGAGAACAGGAGCTACTACTGATGTCAACAGAGGTGCCTTTCAATTCTCTGGTTTCTTGTACTGGAAATTCCTAATCCTGCCCAAAAATGGGTCCAAGACAAAGGGACAGAAACTAGATTTTATGTCCTTCTAAGAGACATAACTTATCCTTTAACATTCTGGTATCAGCTACAGCAATAATAAAATTATTTTATTACTTCATAAATAGCTAGTGAGCCTAGCTGTAATTTAACCGTACTGGGCATTTAACTGCAGTCTGAGTCAATAGAGCCTTTGCCATCACTTGGTTTATAGCTTTCCATAGATACATAGCTAGAAGCTGCTGGCTTTTAATAAATCATTCCATATCACAACAAGCACTATCATAATTGGTATTAATTTATAGTTTTCTTATTGATTTCTGCAGAGAAACTAGTGTTTCTAATTCAGTATTATGACCCATGTTCCTCTGAATACCCACACACAGTGGAGAAGGTTCTTAACGGTTTCTGTTCTTTGTTGGTCTCTTGCACTGTTTCCAAGGATTTTCAAAAGAGCTAATTATTTTGAGATATGAGTTGGAGCATTATAAAAAAGAATATATATAAAAATAATTTTCCTGTGTTACAGCATGTATATGTCTGGTTTTTGATACTTCCCTGAAGTAAGTAGTTCAACAAATGGAATCAATTCTGTCATTCCAGGAAGAGCTGCGCCCACAGTTTGAAGCTAAATATTCCCAAGTGGAAAGAGTAAATCCCATCACAGGAAAACCTGAACCTTTTCAGCCTTTCCCTGATAAGCTCAGTCGACTGATGGTGTCTGTCTCAGGAATATTCTTCATGGTAATGTTTAATAATACTGGAATTATTATAGCCTTTAATCTTGTTCTGCTGTAATAACATCGCCAGTCATGAGTGCGTTCATTAAGATTACTGGATTTACATAATACAGTCAAACTGATTGTCTCAGTCTTACTGCTTGTTAGTGGGTCTCCTTCTTCTCAAAGATGCCATATAGTTATATTGTAAAAGAACAGTATAGAAATGTTTTAATTCATCAATCTCATATTTTCATTCTTTCAGAATCTGCTCACCAAAACAAATGGCAATCTTTAGACACTTGTTAGTTTATTAATTCAGTGGAAATTACGTTAGATATGGCTTAGTTTGTTCTGATATTTCTATTCATAAATCTTACCTGTAGATTTCACTGGTCCTCACTGCGGTGTTTGCCGTTGTGGTGTATCGTCTGGTAGCCATGGAACAGTTTGCTTCTTTCAAGTGGTATTTCATCAAGAAGTATTGGCAGTTCGCAACATCTGGCACTGGAGTCTGTATCAATTTTATGATCATCATGTCACTTAATGTTGTAAGTCTTCTGTTCTTTTAAAGGAAGGGTTACTTTAAAAGAGTAATTTTTACAAGGTTACTGAGTGTATTGTATATCAGGTATACACCTGTTGTTGCTTATTTATATAGCAGTGCCTGAAGATAGTATTTGAGGGTTTTTTTCCTCGTCTAATACTATGTTTGTCAATGTTTTTCTCTAATGCTTACTTAATTTGTCAGTACACGTTTTGCTTATGTCACCAAGCCACAATGGGGCAGACTACTTCTTTCTAGACCTCTATTTTTTGGTTTTTACATTACCTTTTACAATACATATCTAAATGGAACTACATCTTTTTCTTGGCTGAGAATTTCCTTTCTGGGTTTTTTTGGGGTTTTTTTTTTGTTTTTTTAATTGGTAACTTTGAATTCTTCCGATTCTTATTTAAAATGCTGGTGTAATACCGGTATTGCACAGAGCTAGAATCACTGTGATATATGCTTTTGGTTTAAGTTTTTCCTGGCACGTAACAGCATGGGTTAAATCATTTGCTGTGGTAGCACAATGTACGTTGTTGTAAACTCTATTCCTATACCTGCAATATAATTTATTATTTTTCTGTTCCCATGCAGGCACAAACAGGTAAAAAAGAACAATAGCACAGCAAGCAATAGTTTTTAATTCTGTTAAGATGATTGTGTGCTCACTGCAATAAGAAAGCATTCTTCAAAACTGACTGTCATGTATTTATTTCTGGTTTTACATATAATAATCAATCATAAAAAGTGCATTCAAGTGAACAAGCACACTACAGATAGTGAAAATAACTTGCTATTAATAGTAAATGCTCAAGGAAATATTTTTCAGAGTTGGTAAGTACCTTGGGCTAAGAGTCATTTAAAATAAAGACTGGAGATAGTCAGCATATAGAGAGGTAAGGAAGTTTTTAGTAGGAGACTGATCTCAACAGTATACACATTCATGCAAAGGAAATCTATATCGTGTAAAGGCTTTTGCCTACTTTTAGATCACATAGGTTTGTCCGTGAAGTTAAAGGATAAGCATCTAACTGCTCATTAAGAGAACCATCCATGTATGAACACTTCTTTTGATCTGTTGGCTCTTGATCAGTCTTTACTGTATATTGAATGTATATACTTACATACATACATTTACATGGATGAAGACAAAGGGACTAAAGCAGTTCTATGAAGCCTTTATAGGAAACTGTACATCCAGGTGCAGCTACAACATCGCCCTCCCTTCTCCGTCCAGATACCTTGATGCTGTAGGGCAACAGAACACCTCTGCTTTTGACGCTTGTTTTCATTCTGGGTATGACCTCACAACAGACAGGATGTGTTATACCACCTCTTATTTCTGTTTTAGGTGTATGAAAAGGTTGCCTATCTCCTGACAGACTTAGGTATGTAGGTATTTACTCAAGATATGATTCATGCTAGCTGTGGCTTATACCTTTGTATGTCCGTAAAACAGGGTTTTGAAAACTTCATCTATGCATAGTGTGAGTCTGGCATTTCCCCAAGCAAATGAGAAATATCAGAGCAGGAAATTACATTATTATTTCACTAAGGAAATAATAGAAGAGAAAGGAATTTATTTTTGTATTTCTACTATTTTATGTTTTATAGTATAAATTGAAAAAACTGTCGTAATGGAACAAAATTTAAAACATTCTTTCTTAGAATGCTAAAATGGATTTTTTTTCCATTTTTCCCAAATGCTTGGTTATTTTTTATACAGTGTTTTAATTTGATTTTCTCCTTGGAAAAAATGAGTTAAGATAAAATTACGTTGTCCAAGATAAAAACGTTAAGTCATATATTTTAAAGTAGCGTTATTTCTGTTAGATTAAAAATGTGTGCTGAAGCCGCTCGTCGGGATTCAGTCATAGAGGCAAAGCTTTCTAGCTATAGAAAACAAGAAAGCAAAGGCAGAATTTAAGAACTCCTACTACATGAATATGTAACCTTTTAGTGTTTCTTCTTACACGTTCTCTTTTAGTCCACATCAAAATGCAGTTGAGCTTAGAGCTTAAAAGCATGCTCACTGCTGAAATTTAACAGCTCCCTCTTCTGGTTAAAGTAGTGAAGAACACTCATTAAACAAGATGCTGAAAACTTCATAGTGTTTCAGATAACAGGCAGTTGAACAGGTTAGATTCAGAATGTATCTTATTCAAATTACTAAAATATTTTAAAATATTTGTTCAGCTCACTCTGATTTGTATTTCTACTTCACTTTTTTTACATATGTAATAACATTATTTGTAAAATATGATATAGATTTGTATAATATAATATATACTCTCTATGTATTATATAGTATATATTATATCAGAACAGGAAATGAGAAAGAAAATATTTTTTTTAAGTATAAAACGTGGTATTTCCCAAAATCTATGAAGTAATTAAAAAAAAGAAAAGGCTGCTTGATTTAAGCATGATGGAGCATCAGGTGTTTGAGCTTGGTGGCTCACTCCACTTCCTGTGGTGTTTTACATCAAAGAGAAGGAGGACATCTTAATTTCTGGGAATAAGAGTCCATATGTGAAGCTAGTGTCCTGTACATTTGTTTCCTCATTTAGTTATCATTAGAGCAAAGTAATTAAGCGCTACAAATTTTAATTGAACCGTCCAGGCAGTTTGGGCTTCTAACTCATACACGTGCTTTAAAACTTTTATCATAGAATCCTTTGGGGGTGGAAAAGACATTTAAGATCATCAAGTCCAACTGTTAACCCAGCACTGCTAATTCCACCACTAAACCCATGTCCCTAAGCACCACATCCACGTGTCTTTTAAATACCCCCAGGAATGGCCGTTCCAAGGCCTGACAGCCCTTTTGGTGAAGAAATGTTCCCTAATATCCAATCTAAACCTCTCCTGGTGCAACTTGAGGCTGTTTCCTTTTGTCCCATCACTTATCACTTGGGAGAAGAGACCAACCGCCCCCTCTCCTCAGCCTCCTTTCTGGTAGGTGTGGAGGGCGATCAGCTCTCCCCTGGGCCTCCTCTTCGACTGCCCAAGGCAGTGCAGCCCTGCACAGGACGCCTCTAGCCCACTACACGTTTCTACATTTCTTTAAAAAAAAAGAAGGGCCTCCATCCTTTCCTCATTGAATTTTAACATTTCACAAGCATTGTGGCAGGGAAGCCATGAGGGTGAAGCAGTGGTGTTAGGGAAGTGTGTAGAAGGGGAGATGCTTGGGTGGGAGACCAGCTGACTGTAGCTCGTCTCTTCTCATTCCGCTTCCCTTGGCAGTCTCTTGTCTGTTGCTCTGCTGATGCCAAGTGCTTTTATTTTTTTTTTTGTGGTTATTTTTGTTGTGGGGTTTGGTTTCTTTGGGGTTTGGGTTTCTTTGGGGTTTCTTTGGGGTTTGGGTTTCTTTGTGGGAACAGGTACCATCCCACAGACTTGTGACCTATCCTGTACCAATGGACTTCTACCTCCTGGTTCCACACAGAACCATCATAGCCCGAGCTGGGACAGTGGTTTTGTGACCTGCAGGCTGAACATTCTGAGGGGAAAAATGGAAGTAATTGCAACTTGATGGGGCGTCATGACTCGAAACCATCCCTTGTGTTATTAGTGGTGATTGATCTGTGAGCAGAGTCAGGCATAACTCGATTTCATTTTTGTTTATAACGCATATTGCGTCTTTCTGCAGAGCACCCTAGAACAGAATCTGAATGGGAAAACAGCTTTGCCTTGAAAATGTTCCTCTTCCAGTTTGTCAACTTGAACAGCTCCATCTTTTACATTGCCTTTTTTCTTGGCAGGTAAGTTGTCTTTGCTGATTGCAAAGGAAACGACCTTAAAGGAAAAAGTGCACAGAACTCGTAATCCTTGCTTATTTTATAAGTTTGAAGAACATACAGTGACAGTTTGAACTGTAAGATTTAGATGTGAGTCAGTTTCTGAGGATAATTAAGAACACTAAATTAATATTTTTAACTGTATGTGAGGGATGGGCCCTTGAAGTCTTTACTCATTAAACTAGACAGTAAAAAGTGTACTTTTTAAGTGGGTCTATGTACGTGACTTTCCTACTAAATCAGAATTCAGAATCACTTCTTGAATGTGGGTCTGCATTTAGCACTAATAGGCTGTAATCATTTTTTCTTGTTTATTCCCTTTTGATTACATTTCCCAGGATCCATTTCTATAAATAGGAAATACTGTCTGGCAGGTTTTATATGAGAGTAGGATGCAGAAATTCTGGCACCAGTTGTTGTGTGTATCTTTAGCTCAGAGACTGAAATACGAAACATATCTAACATTGCTTCATCTTCACTTCAGTTTTGTTATGAGCAGACTTCTCATTCCTGCAGAACCGACATGAGTATTTCACGTGGGCAAGCAGATCCTTGTGCTGCAGTAAATTCCAATGTATTGCAATGGCTTATCTTCATAGGAGTAGATTAGAGAGTCTGAATATCTAACATCCTAAACCTCTGAAGCTAAGATCTTTGTTCTGGACACAACAACAGTTTAGAGTCATTGCAAAATGATGGTCCTTGTTTGCATTCTGAAACTTCCATATCCCACAGATACCATGTTTAAGCCTATGTGTTTTAATCTGTTTATATTTCATGAGTTTGCTCAGTGGATGTTGTGAAATAACTACTGATACAGGGTGTTCTTGGAATGTCCACTGCGAAACAGAAATCTTATTTTCCAGATTTGCAGGCCGCCCAGGAAAATACAACAAGCTTTTCAACAGATGGAGACTGGAAGAGGTAAGCAATCCTATTTTGTCTTCCTGTGAAATTTTCATGAGTAAAAAGGATGTGGCTGAAGGACATGAATTATGTCCAGTTTGAAAGATTTATTATTCCATCAAAGTGCATTGAGGAGTAAATGCATATTTATAGCAAAGGATAGGAAACAGGAGATGTGTGTTTCCTTCTGGGTTCTCCACCATGCTGAGTGACTGACTCTGCCTGAGATACGCAGTTCTTCCTGCCTCTCTCTTTGGGAAAAACAGCCATAGACCCTTACTTCACAGGCAGTATTAAGTCCTACATGATTGGAATCTCCCATGTACGTGGAATTTTTGGTTGGAGGACATATGTATAATGGGATCAGCTTAAGTTTCTGCCAGCACAGGAAAGATGTGGACCTGATGGTGCAAGTCCAGAGGAGGGCTATGAAAATGGTCAGAGGCATGGAACACCTCTCCTAGGAAGAAAAGCTGAACGAGTTGGAGTTGTTCAGCCTGGAGAAGGCTTATTGCGGCTTTTCAACACTTAGAGGGGGCTTATAAGAAAGGCTGGGACAAACATTTTAGTAGGGCCTGTTGTGCTAGGACAAGGGGTAATGGTTTTAAAGAGGGTAGGTTCAGACTAGATACAGGGAAGAAATCTTTTGCAGTGAGGGTGGTGAAACACTGGAACGGGTTGCCCGCAGAGGTGGTAGATGCCCCATCCCTGGCAACATTCAAGGTCAGGTTGGACAGAGCTCTGAGCAACCTGCTCTACTTGAAGATGTTCCTGGTCATTGCACTGGGGTTGGACTAAGATGATCTTTGGAGGTCAGTTCCAACCCCAACTATTACATGATTTTATGATTTAAAAGATGAAAAATATTATTTAAAAAATTTAGCTTAATAATGTGTTAGAAATGCACCACGCTGAATATCTCTTATCTCTGAAAAACAGGTTTTTTCTATTGAACCTTGGTAGCCACAGAGTGAAATTCCGTAACTTGGTAGTTCATGGTCTTAAAAAGAGTTTCTGTAATTGCCAAACATTTTAATATGGGAATTTATGTAGTTAAGATAGAGGTACCAGAGATTCAGCTTCTAAGTCTCTGTTCAGCCTTAGGATATTACAAATAATATTACAACTTAAATATTGCTTCATTCTTTGAAATGAATACAGATATGAAATGGACTGTATCGTTTATCATATATCATATGTCTGGCACGCGTACACTTAGCTTAGGTAATACAATCTTGTTCTCCAATATATGTCTAAAAGTTGTCCAACTGAAGTCTGTGTTAATATTTCTGTTATTAATATTTCTTTTAATATTTCTGTAGCTGGAGGTTAGTGTTTTTCACCAACTGTATTTGTATGTTTTTCATTCATCCTATGATGAAGTAAAAATGAAAAGAATTCCCCAATTTTAGCTATTGATCTTTATTCATTTCCTTTCAGTGTCATCCTAGTGGCTGCTTGATAGATCTGTGTTTGCAAATGGGAGTTATCATGGTTTTAAAACAAATGTGGAACAACTTCATGGAACTAGGCTATCCGTAAGTTCAGATGTTAAAATTTGTTTTACAAATAGTGTGTTTCAGTGATAGGAAAAATATTTTTATGTTTGGAGAATGTTTTCACTTTTTGCTGTAGCTTTATTCCCAAGAGAGCGGGTGCTCTAAGATAAAGCTTCTTGGGGGGATGTTAATTATCTGAATTGTTAATTGTGGTTTCATTTTCCATAATACACACAGAGCTGTTCAGCTACTGAAGGGAGGAATGAGCGAAAAGTCTCACAGTTCTCTTGAAACTGGAAGAATATATTTTCAGTAAAAAAGTTCCTCATCGAATATTAATTTAATGAAAGTCTCAACCTTGAAGCTGTGGTAGAAGCAGTTATGCCCACAGTGTGCAATCCTTCTGCAAATTGGGGCAGTGTAGTGTATTGTTGTGAGACATGGATTTCTGAAAAGAAGAAACCTGCCTGAGTATCTCTTCTCAGCCCAGCAGCATCGTAACCATGTCTAGGACTTATTTTAGAACATGTTCAGATTGCTTCATGGAAAGCAGTGTTTTGTTTGGACAAAACCAGTTTGCAGCTGAGACAACAGTTGCTCTTTGAGTAACAAGAGAGCTGAAGAGCTAAACACTAAATTAGCCTGAGAAGAAATAGCAACCTGTTAATAAAATACTTCTAAGAAAATTGTTTCACATCTTCAGTCTCTTTTCACTAATATCTAGAAACAAAAAAATATCTTCAGCTCCCATCTGTATCAGTACTGGATAACATTTTTCATTTGTGTAACACTTTAATTTGTGAGACTGTCACCTACCTAATATTCATAACCACTTTGCGAAAAGACTTGTGCAGAGCTTAATAAAAAGTAATCTTAAAGATTTGCAGCTTCAGCAACACCTTTTTAGACAATTTTGCCTGCTTCAAGAAAATAATACTCCGTAGAGCATCTAGATCTGGAGGTTTGTTCAAAATGAGTAGACGTATTCTACTATTCAATATACTGTAGCATCATAGAGTTCTTACTGAGCTCCACTTACTTGGTTTGTCCTTTACAGGATTAAAAATAAAGCATTATTTACTCCTTTTAATGCTCTCACTATGCATGTTGGGGTTTTTTTTCCTGCTCCTATTTTATTTAGGCATGCAGGTAAACCCTACTCTGAAAAGGTTATTTCTACAATGCCCACCATGCTACATTAAAGGTGTAATTAAAATTGTAATGCAGAATTTTGAGAACTTTGGAAGTTCTTTGAATTGTATCTGATGGGATATTGTAAATATTTCCAGAAAATAGCTCAGTAAACATTCAGGTGCTATTCAAAATAGGCCCACTTACTTCAAAACAATCCCAGCAGGTATGGTAATTACTGAGCAAGTACAGTCAATAATGCGTTGTTTGTCTAATAAAGTTTATTACAGAATTGGTGGTCACGACGCAAAATGAAGCGAAGAGGGCAACTAATGGAGCATAAAATTTCCCTGCCTCAGTGGGAAAAAGATTGGAATCTGCAGCCTATGAATCTTCATGGTTTAATGGACGAATATTTAGAGATGGGTGAGCAAATTTAGGGAGATGGCTGTTTTCTTAAGACGCCGGAACTATGTTGCGGGTTAAAAGCTCTTTGTCATTTCCAATTTCTAACCATAGAGATGCCTGTGTAGTTTTACAGTTTGGCTTCACCACCATCTTCGTTGCTGCCTTCCCGCTGGCACCTCTCTTGGCACTGCTTAACAATATCATAGAGATAAGGTTAGACGCGTACAAGTTTGTCACGCAGTGGCGAAGACCGATGCCTGCAAGAGCAACAGATATAGGTGAGAGAGCCTAGTGACTGTCGCTGGGAGGTACCATCTCTTTGTGTTTCCTTCTTCCGTGCAGCTTAACCCTTGAAGTATTTCATGCATCAAGAGGGTAATTAGTAAGAGTTCTTAGTGATCGCTGAGAGGACTCCTCAATTTTCCTTTCCATTTCCAGTAAGGAATCATAACAGTTCAGAGTTTGAAAACAGGCTAAATAGTATTTTAGGCTTCTGATTTGTAGAACTGTAGGTCTAAAATGCTGTCCAAAATCAACTGAATTTAGAAATTAAATATGAAGACTGAATTCACTTTTGGCTTAAAACTGAATTAAATAAAAATAAGAAATCTCTTTCAAAAATCTTCTAATTGGCCTTTATAACCAAAGATTATAGGTTTATGGTGTTGCTTAGCTGTTTCTTGGCAGGAGGGTGTGTCCTGCTGTAGGGCTTCAGTCAGGTGGAGCTAGTGGGGAATGTGGGGACATGGCAGAATCTTCACTAGCTTTTCTGACCGAATAATTCTTTCTCAATAAGAAATGAAAACTGTATGACTAATAATGACTTTAATATCAGTAGCATGACTTTGTATGACTTAACATGACTTGGTTGACATTTCTCTTGTTTCTAGGTATCTGGTATGGCATTCTGGAAGGAATTGGAGTTCTGGCCGTCATCACCAATGCCTTTGTCATTGCCATTACATCAGATTACATTCCACGTTTTGTCTATGCATACAAATACGGCCCCTGTACAGATCAAGGGTACAGACAAGAAAAGTAATTAAGATATTCTTTATACATACATGTGTATTTCAGTGGGGGGTGGTTTGGGAAGGTTTTTTTTAGGTTTTCTTTTTAATGTGTTAGTCAGGGTTACCTCAAGAAAAGGAAGCATCACTTTGCTAATACTATAACACACAAGCACAACTTATCTTCTTTATTGCACAGCAGGAAGGGTGAGAGTGAAAGCATCAAGGTTTGTCCAGAAAAGCCAGTGCCACTGCGTTCACAGACTGTGCGTCAGCTCAAACCGCAGGGGTTTGTCCTTCCTTTCCCCATTGCTCCTTCTCTAGTGATTCAAAACGGAGGGTTACTCTTCCTGTGCTGTCGCAGGAAGAGAGAATTTAAGGGCAACAAGAACGAGGCAGGATAGGATGAAAAGAGAAAATAACAGGGAAGAAAAGTTAGTGCTTAATGTGCACTATTCATCTCTATTAAACAGAGAACTATGTAATTCTATTTCTTCCTTTGCCAGTAGTGATTTGAGGTGTCACAGCAAACCTGACAGTTCAGGAGGTAAAAATAGGGTTCCCGATGCATCTCTTTTAAAAAGTTCTTTACCTTTCAGAAGGCCCTTTGTTCAATTACAGGACAGTTTTCCAAGAAGATGGGAGGTCTTACGTGTCTGTGATTTTCCAGGGACAGACAAAAATTTCACTTTTACAGTTGTGATTCAGTGTATTTATGTGATTTCTGTCATTAATGCTAACAAATTGTTGCCTTTAAGATGGCTGTTTGGTATATATGCACTGTTCATTTTTCTGCTGGTGAAAATTCTTCCTTGAATCAACTTGTAATACCAAAAAAAAATCATTTTTTGGTATACGCTGCCTGATTGGTGGCTGATTCTGCAAAGTTGTTAAATTATTCTCCTCTGCCTCTCTAGCCATCTTTCTAAGTTCAGTAATTTTAGGAGAGAGCGAAGAACACTGTAGGAACGATTTTTGGTTTATATCTGGTAGATAAGAAGCAAAAGCATGAAAATGTTGAAAATAGATTTCTCAACAGTGTTATTCCTGAAACAGATGTTATTTGTTTCTTTCCAATAGAACTTTGCTTGTCTGCTTAAAATTTTAGAATTGCTTTTGCCCTGATAAACAAATAAAATAGTATGCTCACAATATGTGGCAGCAGAATATGTTTACCTACAGGACCTGTGCTATATAAGCACTTTATGAAGAAAGTCCTGACCCTATGTCTTTTCCTTTCAGATGCTTAAAAGGATATGTCAACAGCAGTTTATCGGTGTTTGATTTGAGTGAACTTGGGATGGGATACTCGGGATACTGCCGGTATGTTTCAGTGCTCTCCTCCTGTAATACAGGGGTACTTGTTAATACAGACATTAAATTGAAAGCTTAAATGACTAGCAGAATACTTTCTTTTTTGCCTGTAAAAGCATTGAAGTTCAAGGCCAGGCTGGATGAGGCTTGGAGCAACCTGGTCTAGTGGAAGGTGTCCCTGCCCATGGCAGGGGGGTTGGAACTGGATGGTCTTTAAGGTCCCTTCCAACCCAAACCATTCTATGGTTCTATGAAGTTTGTTCAGCATGGAAGTCTCAGGTGCAAACACTGTGTAGCAGAATGCAGTACTAACTCTGGCAACCTGTGTTGAGTTTTTCCAGGGCTCTTGCAAGCTGTATCTTTCGTACCTCTGTGACTTTTCATTTTGAAGTTTCCACAGCTGCCAAGGAGGGCAAAAATTCTCATTTGAGTTTTTTTAAGCATTCAGAGGTCTGTTAATTAAAACTTTTGCTGTGGGTCTAACTGAGGTCGAGATCCCAAACAGTTATGCAAGATGAATACAAGAAATTCAGCATAAAAATTAAATGCTGTGTTGCATGAGTGCACTCCTTCTGACTTCAGATTTAGTTTCACAGCGAAGGTTAGGTTGAATTGACTTAAGTTGCTACAGAATCACGTTACATTTATGCAAACATTGTCTGGAGAATCTCAAATGTTTGTAAGCAAAGACAAAAACCAGCTGAGGGTCAACACACCTGAACTTAACACTCCAATGTGTCAGCTTTGTAACAACAAAAGAAATTGCTATGGATTTTTGGAAGCAAAAAGTTCCACCTCGTAAGTGGCCCTATTTAACTGCCTGCATTGTGGCAATAAATAAATATTGTGTATTCTCCTTTTCTGTTTACTTCCTCTTGAAGTATGCTTTCACTTTAGGTTCTCTCCTTTTAGCCGGATCTGGGATAAGCTAGACAGCTCTTCACCATGTTTAGGTTTCTGAGCACAGGCTGACTGACTGGATTTTGCTTTGCTTTACAGGTATAGAGATTACAGAGCCCCACCATGGAGTTCAACTCCATATGAATTCACTTTGCAGTTCTGGCATGTCCTGGCAGCGCGGCTGGCCTTCATCATAGTATTTGAGGTTAGTCCTGGAAAGGAACAATTCCTTTCTGCCTCTTTAAAGTCCAAGGTGATTTCTTACATAAATAAATTGTCAGTATCATCAACGGCTTGTTCATTACAGTCAAGAGAGAAAAAAAAAATTGCCCTCCCCAAACTGTCGCCAATCAGCCACTTCAAACTGAATCAACACAGCATGCACAGATTTGAGAGTCCCTCCAAAATTGTCATCTTGTGCACGATTTTGGTTCCCAACCAAATCTTCTATCTTTTATTGCCAAAGAAGAAATACGACTTACATGTACGTTATGCACAGTTATTGCAACTTATAATCCGTGTCAGGAAAATAATACCCGTTTCTAGCCTAATATAAAAGTAGAAGTGTGTGTAGAAATGTATTACATACTGTCTAGGAATCTGGTTACATTGATTACAAGCTCTTAACAAAGAGGTGGTGTTTGCTACTGTTACTGAAACTAGCATACCCTGCAGTCACATCTTCACTTAATTCTCTAGCTATACCCTTACTTTTACTTTTCAGCAGCCTTCAGCATTTTCACATTTCTGATAGACTGCTAATTTACTCCCATATGTGTGTTTATGTTAAAAAAACCCAGGAGTTGCTTTTCAGTCATGGATTGAATCTCAGAGCCAGTTTTGCCATAGACTTTTAGGCCCTGAAATGTAGTCCTAGAACTGAATATGCATCTTAGAAGTATGTGTGTTTGTTCTTCTTTTCAGCACCTTGTTTTTGGAATAAAGTCTTTCATTGCCTACCTGATTCCAGACATGCCCAAAGACTTGTGCGACAGAATGAGGAGAGAGAAATACTTAGTCCAGGAAATGATGTATGAGGCTGAACTGGAGCATTTGCAGAGAGAAAGGAAAAAGAATGGGAAACAGTATCACCATGAATGGCCTTAGTCACTACCATGCTGCAACAAAACCACTGTTTGGAAACTGAAGAGTGCGGTTATGAAATGCAGTCAGTCTGGCATCAGTGTCTGAGATTCGTGGTGCATATATGTTCTTGCTGGGCAGTACACTTGCAGGCTTTGGTGGGAACTGGAAAATAGATGTTTCTGATGAAGAAAATGAAAAGCCTTACCTGTAACTGCTCTGCAGTGAGCACCAAGGAGAATTGGCACTCAGGAATGTGGAGACAGATTAAAAATTTGGACACTCTGGTTGAAAAAAGGCAATGAATTTTCATGCTGTTCATGAAGATACTTACAATGTAATGAAAATAAAAAAATTACCTGTGAACTTACACAGTAAGGGCATGACTAAAACCAACTTACATGGTATCCACTACTACAGCTTCTGATTGCTCAGCTCCATCTGTAACGTCTCTGAAGAAAAGAGCAATTGTTGCCTTTGTGGCCATAACTTGATATAAATGATCTTTCAGGCTTACTGTTTTGTCAGGTTTGTCCTAGTCTCTTGTTGAGATTGTGGATGTGGTCCTACCCTAAAAAAGGGGCCTATGGCTGCTTAATATATACTATGCAGTTTAAGATTTGCACATCCGTGTCATTAATTTATCCTTCTAGTTGAAAACCAAAAATTCAAAATTCAAAGAGAAAAGAGCAGCACTAAGAGAACGCATCGCGTTGCCCACATAGCAGCTATATTTGAACGTGATGTGGCTGTTCAGTGGCCTTTCCACTTCTGTGTGCAGAAAGGCCACCCCCACACACTTTCAGGGTGAAAGAACTGTCATTTTCATGCTCTGATGCAGCATGCAGATGTTTAACTGTTACTGTTCCCCTTGACCTGTCTGGGCGATGACTCCATGACTTCACAGAATGCTAATTTGAAATACTCTCCTACAGTGACTCCGTCCTGAATATACAATTAACCCGTTAGAGTATGCAAGCTTACGCAGATATATGTCAGACACACCGTATAACGTCGTGACTTGCTTGTTCAGGGCAGGAGAAGCAGAGCACTTGATAACAATGCTCTTCTTATTGTAAATGTTCCCGTAACGTGCACTTCTTTTATCGGCTTAAATAAGTCAGAGCATGGGGGTTAGATACAGGCAGATATGTATACAGATTGTATATAAATGCACACACACACACAGTGGTGACTTTTTGATTTTTTTATTATTATTATTTGTATGCCTTCGTACAGTTTTGAGGGGCTTTTTGGATCAAATCGCTCTAAAACATAGATGTTCATGTGGAGAATCAGATTTCAGGTTTTATGTGCATGCAGCGTACAACAGTGTTGCTTATGGTTATAGTCACGTTTTGGTGATGAAACTGTCTATTACTGACATTTCATAATGTGGGAAAAGATAAGCACTTAATTTAAACAATTTAGGCAAGCGTGCAGGGTTCACTTGCAGAGGAGGGAATGGAGGAACAGAGTTACAGTCATTCTGTTCCTCTTGCACAGTTTTATATAATGCATCTCTGTATTGGATGAGAAAAAATTAAAAAATGAATAGTCAAAGCACAGTAACTATAAAGGCTGCACATTTTAACATCGTTTTTAAGGGTAAAGCTGCAGCAAAATCACTGCTGACAGCTATGAAAAGACCTGAATTTGTATTACTTGCAATACCCTATTGAACCAAAAAGTGTGCTTGCAGTATTCACTAGCATGTATTAGCACAATCATTTTACTTTATTATGCCATATAAAATCAATTTTATGAGTCAAGAGCCTGTCAAAGCTGATGAGTATGGTCTATTGTATCCAGGGGGCCTAGCACGAGACCTTAAGTTCTTTAGTCCTTTCACCATATTCATGCAATTTCTTGGTTAATTCCAGCTCTCTGTGACCAGACGAGGCAACTGTAGGAGTATCTACGGTATTGCACAAAGGAGGGAAGAAATTGGAAGGTAGTGTCTAATCAGATATATTACCTGTTAGTTCTGTCATAAAGAGCTGGTGGAACTCAGCTTCCCATATTTCGGTAAGGCTGTTTCGTTCCTTCATGTCCTGGGTCGGGCGTTAAGGCCCTTGAGGGGTCCGTATCAGAAATAATTAACGCGCTCTCCCCAGTGCTTACAGAATCACACTGATTGATTTAATCCATTGTCTCTCTGTTTCGTTCTGTGGAATGTCACGCGCCGTTTGACAGCGTTAGCCGTGTGTCACAGCTTCTGTTTCTGTGCCTCGTAATGATAGCACTTCAGTTCTTCAGGAGGTCACAGATGAGCTCTGGTTTTTAATGCTTTCTCTAAAAACAAAATGCCTTGGCTGGCCCAAGGTATAAATATAAATTAGGCAAAAATCAGAAATGTTGATATAGTGTTTTATACTTTCCTGTTTCTGCTGTGGGCATCAGCACATGTCAGTACATACTTAGACAAATTCCAATTGGACTTAAAAAACATGTAAGAAAGAAAACCTTTTTGTATCTGAGATTGAAAAATATATGTATTATTAATGATCTTCAGCACTGGTGTGTAAGAGTCTGTGAAAGGCAGGTATGTAGACCTGACGTGCGTTTTACACACTGGAAAAGCACAAGAAGTTTTGGAGAAACACTGTGTGTGTTCCTTTATTTTTGGAGGACATGGACAATGCCTAACGTTTTTGCCGCTATTTTCTGCTTAAGCTGAGAAAACTTTTTGCTAGGCTGGGTTTAGTGTGCTGTTTGCATTGACTGCACGTTATTTTAGGGAAGTGTAAGGCACACACTGTCCTCAGGAATACTGTATGTTATGAATGGCGAATGATCTTTTCATACTCTAAGTACTGTCTTTCCAAACAAATGACCAGTATGAGCAGACTGTGCATGCGAGCTGCATTTGTGAACTCTGACAAAGCTTTAGAACTTCAGTTTGTGCAACAAATGCTTTAGGTCGCTGCAGATTTAATCTACGACAACTTTGCTCTATGCATGCGCCCTCATAGAGACTGCATGAGCAATTAGATATTTTTAAATACAAAGGATTAGTCCAAAATGTCTTAATTATTCCTAACCAAATTCCGTGTCTTGATTCAGACAAAAGAAATTTTCATTTCAGAAACAGCAAAAAGGCCTCATGCATTATACACATCTCATTTCTTACGACTTTTTATTCTAAATTTGTGCCTAACGTGTGAGATCTGAATTCTGGTGACTAAAAAAAAAGAATTCTGCTTCATTAGCCACCTTAGCGAGACATTCCTTCTTAGAGCTCAGTCTGTCTCCATGCAGACAGGTGCCGTAGGAGCTCAGTGCTCACAACGGAGCGCTAACAGGGTTGCCTCAAGATTGAGCCCAGGCTCTCAATTTGCTATGCTGTAATTGGGTTTCCTTACCAGAAACACAGCACGGTGGTCGAGCATCCTCACAGAGCACTAAGGTTTGGAAACAAGGCAAAGCACCATGGCCATTTTTTATTTTTATTTCCTACCCCTTTTTGTTGAAGGATTTATAGAGAAAATTTAGAAGAACACTGAAATCAATATTGATGATGTCAAGGCTAAAATTTCCGTGATGATGATGGACGATAAGTGGTTTTTTGTTAGATGTTTCTTTGGAAGTACATATTTTCATTACTACAAAACACATCAGCTGTTTCTACACCCTTTTCCAGCACCAAGTTGTCTTAAATTGTGTTCTGAGGGTTCAGTTGTGTTCTGTTGAAAGCTCAAAATAAAAAGATCTGGAGGGCCTAGTGAAAATACGTTCATAGGTACATACCTTCATGCATAAATCTCCTGAGGTTTCCTTCATTAGAAGTTCTGCAGAAGGAAAAACATCTTGGGAAACACAGCATTAGGGTGAGTGTTAACATGGGAAAGGCAAGAATTTTGATGATGTGTTATTCCTAACGTGCCATTGAGATGGTCACTCTAAAGTAAGTAGTGCACATCCGCTGTTTCCTTGCGGCAGCTTCTTCCACTGCAGACTGCAAGTGGGAGTGCTGCCAGGGAGTTTTCGGAGCTGTGGGATCCAGTGGCATTACCTGCAAAGTCCTACATGGCATCTTGGGATTTATTAATCCTCTGCATGATGTCACAGTTCATTCAGGGGCAAATTAATACATGCATGTGTAGAAGCATCGTATCATTTCCGTTAACTGATCCTTGTCCATAAAGTGAAAAGAAATGGTTCTTACATAGTTAACTTACTAGTGCCCCAAATTTTACTTCAAACTATTATTAACTAGATTTTTTTACATACACCAGGGTATGGCCATGTCCATAAAACTGATGTTCTACCAAAAGCTGAATACAGAGGCAATAAAGTTAATGGCAAATCAAACAATCACATTTTGATTAAGTGTTACACAGGGGAAAAGGGCCAGAGAGAAAAACAGTGGTTATCAACAATCACTTATGGTGCAATAGTACTTCTATAAGCATTTTCTTTTTTGCAATCCTCCTAAACTACTTATGTTGCTTATTTGGGGGTGAAGGTTGACATGAATATGCAGCCAGCCTTTCATAATAATGTTGATTTGGTTTTAAGGCTGACAGCAGAATTCACACAGAATTCCACATTTAGACAGACTTGCTGTTTGTTAGTTGCATTACGCACGTCGTCTCACAGAAATGCGTGCAGTGACACGGTCTGAAAGTGTTGAAGTAACTTGAAAACCTAAATTCCTGCAGTGGAAAATTTAGCAGCTTTAAAATATCCCCACGTCTTTTTTTACCCAACATCATTCTCACAAAGCCCATGTTCCACTGGGATAAAATGCAGCAAGCCAGCATTTTGAGGCTGGGGCTGAGCAGAGGAAGCAAAGGGCTCCTCTTTGCTTCAGCTTGCTGACAGCCCTCCCGAGCCTTTCCCATTTCCTCTCTGGCTCAGTAATTACCCTCAGCGGTTTATCAAACGATGCCTTCTTGCTGACAGTCCCGTTTCAAGGGCAATTCTGTAACTGCAGGGTTTTTTGAAAGCTTTTTTTGGATGTCCCTAACTGAGAAGCCACAGCAGACAGTGCACAAATAGTAGTTTGGCTGGAGCTTTTA